GAGAGAGAGAGAATGTGGTTTCCGCGTTTATAATTTTCCGAGCGGTCCTTGCCGCGTAAACGGTGAAAACGTTTTAAAAGCAGAACGACTTCGTGGTTCAACGAAAATTAATCGATCTCTCTCCCCCTCTCTCGTATTAAAGGATACGAATTTTCGTGGATTTAATCCGCTGACTCCGATAAGCCAGGCGCTCAAGTATTTCCGGTCGGCAGCGCACGCCTACCCTTGTTTTCGACTGGATTGGATTATACTCACGGCTAGTTTCAGCAAACGCTCGGAGGCCTTCGCCACGTCCATGTTCTGGAAAATAAAAAAAAAAAAAAAAAAAAAAAACAAAGAAGAGAGATTCGATTATTAGCACAAAGAAAGCAACGTAAGCGTTAAGTGGAACGAGCGAAATTGGAAGTTGTTGCAACGGGGGGCGCCCCGGGATGAAACAAGGGGGTACGAAAGTTCCGTAATTGGATCCGAATCTGCGGAAATACGTAGCAGGAGATCGGTCGGAAATTTTTGTACATTTGATCGCAAACTGAACAGTGGTGGTCCGTAATTAAAGCATCGAAGTAATTAACCAGGCTGGTGAGTCTTGTAAATTCAGCGATGTAAGTATAATTGTGCGCACGGTTTGAAAATGTTTTGAAATGTTTGAAAATCGCCGGGCCGTATCCGGCATTCAGCCGCTGTAAAAATATTTGCCATTGCTGCAGAAAAAAGAAAAATTATATCACAATGCACTATTCGAGGTATTTTTTTGTCAGGAAGAATGGTATTTTTCCGAAATAAATTCCCGGCGTTTCTTTGACAAGCGCGCGCGCCAAAAAACAAAAAAAAAAAAAAAAAAAATGCGTATATATCTAGATACGGATACAACACACCTATTAATATTTATATTTATTCATGGCAATATAAATAATCCAAATGTCCGAAATTTGTCACACTACTGCGCTATATTCGCTCCCAGTTCCAATGAAAATATAACACATCCGATGTTTTCCCTCCGCGTCGCGTAGCAAAGTATCGTAATCATACGTGATAAAGAAAAACGTGCGTGTAAAAAAAACCCCACCTAAAATACGTTTCGCGTTCAAGGGTCCACGTTGCGCGCCGTACCTCTACGAACTGTCGAATATTCCTTTTTTTTCACTACAGGCGAATCGTCGGTCATTCGTCTCTCACGGCAGAAGATCGAGGTTTAGTGTTTCATTTTAAAAACATCGCGTTGTTGATAAAACAACAGCGAGAAACAGAAGGAGAAGAAAGAGCAGATTTAGGAGCGTGTTGAACGAACCCGCGGAACGAACGGCAAACAATAGCCGGTCTATTAAAGAGCATGCAAATGCAGGCCGATTAAAATGGCAACTGATAAACCGAATGGAGAGCACCAAGTTCCATAGATTAACGGCAATTCGGTAACTGGGCGCAATGAGTACTTGCGGTCGTTGGAAAGTATCCTCTTATTCCCCTCCCGTGCCGCACTCGAAAACGTCGAAGGAGCTTTCCAGCAATGGAATTGATATTTCGTGCGGTGTACTAATTGAATACAGGGGAAGGGAACTACCCCTCCGGCATTCCGCTTAAGTGGCGGTTCGCCGGGGTCTCTCCGAATGGCACAACACGAGAACTCACGGTGCTTATATACCCCGGGCTTACAAATAAATACCTAAAGAGCCTCCTGTCGATTTCAACACGCCATTTATACGCGTGCACGCACACGCGTGTCTGTGTAAACGCACGGTTTCGCGACTGCACAATCTTGGGACATTCGCGGGGGATAAAAATCGGTGGAAAAAAAAAAAGAGAAATGTCAAAGGGCGAAGGGAAAAAAAGAAGCGACGTGATAAAATCCAACTCGGGACGAAGAACGGGCAAAGTTTCACGTTCAAGTTATGTATGAAATTACGCGTGTGCAATTTGAGTGTAATTCGATCCCGTTTCGGCAAACGGCAATTTCGCCAACGTTTCGCAGATTAAAACGAAACTATGTATAATTATATGCATCCTGGGATTCGTAATTACAGTGCTTGATGCATGTTCGTTATAAACTCGGAATATAATATTCTAATTTGAGAGGACCCGAATAACGCGCTCACGCGAGTCTGAGAATTCGCGCGAATTCGCTAACGAGATGTTCCACTGAATTCAGGCTTAAATAAATCGTTTCGATCTCACGGGCTATACAAAAATTTTCTCAAAAAACGACGGGATAATTGCCGCGTTTCGCGAGCAAACATCGGGACTCGCGGATGAATAGAATTAACGGAAGGATTTACAGGCACTCGTCTCGTTTGGCTGTGAATATGCCGGATGATGAGAAAGCAACGCGTCGAATCGTTTCGCAGCAAACACTCCGAATTATCACTTTTGATACTCGGCACGCGGAACAATTACTTCGTTAAACAGCTCGGTACGAACGACTATCGAAATCGATAGCCTATCGACGCTATTATAAATATAACGTAACAAACGGAAACGTGCAATCGATTCGCTGATTTTTCAAAAACGTGACAATTAATTAAAACCGAGAATAGATGAAAATTCGATGCTATTCCGGCAGAAGCGATTAAATTTTCGAGCGAGCAATTTATCGAACGTGGAAAAAGTCAACGATCGATCGAAATCGAGGAATCTCCACGATGTCTCGCAACCATCACCGATCACAAAGTGCAATAATTTTTATCCCGGAGTGGTGGAGATATCCATTTTTCGCTAATAAAACCGTGTTCTACGGGAAGCTAGCGTCCCGTAGCTTTCGACACTCGCTTTTTAACTCGGCTGCGAGAAACGTTGAGCAGCGCATCGCGTTCCTCGGGACAATTAAGTACCGTGGCGTAAAGCTCCATGCTAATATCACTTCAGTCAGAAACCCTTTGACCCTGGAGGTGATCAAAGGTCCAAAAGGAACTCGCTTTACCTTCCCTTTTGCGCGAGAATTCTTGCACAAAAGAGCACGCTTGCAAAAAATTGCGTCGCCGTGCATTGGCGTGCGAGCGCGGGCGCGGGCGCGAAAGAAGCGGCACCGAAGAAACGAAAAAAGTACTTGTTGAACTTGGGTCGAAAAACCGTACGACGTACATGGGTATCTCGAACGATCGCGTTTCTATTTCCAGTTGAAAGGGTGCTTGGATGGCTCGAGAGGTTTCGCGAATGAATGGCGCGGCTTGAGTCGCGTTCACCGCGCGGGCACAGAAAGGAAGGGGAAAGTGGAGAGTCGTTCGAAACGAAAATAAAAGAGGAACGTATCGGCCTCTGTGTATCTTCTCCTCCTGCTTCTCCTATTTCTTTCCCTTCTGGTTCTCGTCGTGGAACGACGCGAGGTCCGTGGGCGCAACGCGATCGATCGTCTCTGACCGAATCAAAGGCTAGAAACTTACACGGCAGAAGCCCTGGCGGGCACAAAGGGTTATAATAAGCCGTCTCGAGCGAAAACGGCAACGATCTCGAGCCAGTGGAGCAACACGCTTCGGTAACACGAGCCGACGAGGAACGTTGTCTACGCCACTGAAACTGAATACACGCTATATAGTCCTTACCCCGGGAACGGGGGCGCGACGAATTCTTTTCGCCTCGCGAGCACAGCCATAAGCGCCTTCTTCTCTCGGGCTGGAAACTGGGAGGAAACAGAGAGAGAAAGAGAGGGGGGGGGAGGAGAAAGAACGGCAAGAAAAAGGAACGAGAGAAACCGTTCCTTGGTTCGCGCGATACCGTTTCCTTCTTTCGACGTCGTTTCAATTAGCGACCGGAGATTTACGACTTTGCCTACCACCAACACCTTCTTGGTGTCGTCGCGCTGTCACGAGTACTATCGTTCGAGATACTGGCCTCCAATTGAATTCCAAACGAGTCGACAATGGCGAGGCAATCGAGGAACGTAGCAGAAAGCTTATAGGTGTGTATAGGTGCGCGTTGTGTCTTCCCATCGCCTCGTTCCATCGCTCGCGGCAGAAAAATTAGGGGTAATTTCGAGAGAAGGGTCGCGGCAAGATCCCAACGTTAGCCCGAGCAAACGACGTGGAAGAGAACTTTTCTGCTCCCTCTCTCCGCCTCTTATTTCTCCTGGCTCTTGTCATTTATTAAACGTCATAACGAAAGCAACGGTCCAACCATTCAACGATGACGTTAGATTCTCTGCAAAGCCCAGGTAGAATCGACCGGGAGAGCAACCGTAAAAATACGTTCCATAATTGAATTCCCATCGCAGTGTAAACGAAAGTAATAGCTCTTCCCGTTTGCCGACTGTCAGTTGTACGCCGCGCGGTTGTTATCACGAACAGCCGAAAGAATTAAGGTCTCCTCGGTACGTTTTCCGCCTCGGTTGGGCTCGAGTTGACATTCGATCGCGATCCGATATGTATAGCCCCGGGCACTCGATGTCCGACGCCGAAAGGAATATTCATGGAAGTTCGTTAACGAACGAGTGAACAGGACCTCAATTTCCGGCGTGAAAGGTATCAGGAAACAGCGTCGAGTCGCGTCGACAAAATAGGATAGCCGGGGCTTCTTTGCCCCGATGTCAAGGACGAAATTATTAAGAACACCGTTCCATTCGTAATAATCTCGCCTGTCACTCTCGAGCACCACCCAAGGAGAAAGCGCCACCCACCCTCCGTCGTCTCGAGTCATCGCAGCGCAAGGGTCGTTCTATTCCCGCGTCGTCGCCAGAGATGGAACCGGACGAATATCTGACACACTGTGAAAATTCCTTTCGAACGACGACGCGAAGCTTCCCCAAGGCCGACGAGAGGAGAGGAGAAGAAGGAGGGAGAAGCGCACGAAGTGAAAAATAAAAATAGCGCTTGGAAGAAGCCACCGACGTGTAGAAAAGTCGGACACGATTTTCTGTTTTCTTTTCTTTTCCCATTTTCTTTTTTTCTCTTCTCTTTCTTGCTCAACTGCTCGTTGACCCGCGTGCATTCACGGTCTCTGAAGAAGATTCCGTACAATGGCGGGTAAAAACGAGAACGAGAGAGAAAGAGAGACCGATACGAGGAAGAAAGAGAGAGAGAGAGAAAAGAGGGAGACAGTTTACGAGCATTCACGATGGGAAATCGATACGATATTTCATCCGTTTTGCCGTCAACGGCCTCCAAGGTGCGAACAGCCAAGTCGCAGAGGCTGCACCCACCGAGACTCGCCCCCATCCTTTGTGCACCCTCTAGCACCCTCGAAAATCCTTTAAACGTTCATCCCTTTAAGCAGTAGCACGTCGTCGAGCCGATAAGACGACGCTCGATGCGACCGCGCCATCACCTTTCTTCGATCGGTCTATTGCCCCGGAGTGTGAAGTCATTCGTGTGCAGGGATGCGCGCCGTGAAAGATAGGCAAAACGTACAACCGGCTATTTACACGTCACGGCAGAGAGAAAATTTTCGATGACCCGCAAGATGAATTGCCTTTCGACGAGTACGAGCACTATTAACCATCGTGCGGGGTTATGCACGCGCGTCACATTGAAAAATCTTATCGCCCCACGGAACAACAACGGCGAAACTTCTTTTCTCCTGTTCTCTCCACAAGCCAGACAAATGACCTCGCGCTCGTTCAAGCTGTACGACATCGATGACCTGACCCGCAGATGATTTTAATCGCCAGCAACGCAACCTATGTTCACGAGCGAGGACTTTGACGCCGATAGTCCTGTCGACGATAAGCGACAAAACCGGCTCATTAGAGTGAAATCTGCTCCAAAAAAATTACCCCTGTCGACGCGCAAACGTCAGGGTAATTAATCGCCCGATTACCACTGACTACCGTCGAGAACGAAACAGTGGTTAAGTCGTTCGTTTGCAACGTATGTATCAGGATACGTGTCACTTTGATAACAAGTGACACGCGTGATTCCACGCAGAAATAATCAATTCAAACAATACGTCCATTAGATAGCCATTAGAAACTATACTAGAACTACCGACGTACGAAATTTCCATCAGAGACATTAAAGTAAAAAAATACGATACGATAAATTACACAAGCTTCCATTTATACGGCGAGTCGTTCAAACATTTAAAAATACACTGTGAAATTTCTAAGAAAAAAATTATAAATTGACCACTCTGACTGCCTTTGGTATTTCTGGCTGGTTAACAGGTATTAACCTGGCGTAACGACGAAGTTTATTAATAAAAATATCGTTCGACAGACGCTCGGACCATGTTAATTAGCAGCATCCGATGTTCGTTCGATCGACGTTGCTAGTAGTCGTAACAGGGGGGGACTTTGGCTTCGGTTTGAATGCTCTGTGTTTGCAATCAGTGGCTGGTCAATGAAGCAACCGGAGAAGACGCAAATAAATAATTTTCGCAATTTTAATTGAACCGAGCAGGTTCTAATGAAACTTCTTGCAACCAAAAGAAAGAAAACTGTGCGCAGCTGTGTCGGCACGTGGAAACGATACGTAGAAATTGCACGCGTAATTAACAATTGTAATTTGATAGACTCCGTTCTATCGGAGCCCGAAACGAAAAAGAGAAAGAGGGATCAGCCAGAGCAAAAAGATCCCAAGATGGATGGGATTCGCGTAAAGAAAACTAGAAGCGTGCAGACTATTTCTTGGGAAGAGTGACTCGGCAGAACTTGGCTCTGGAAATCCAAGGTGTTGCAAAAAACCTCGCGATAATATCGGGAACACGATACAACGAAATTCAAACACGAATGTAATCCGTGGATTACGGATATCTTTGACGAATCACGGTATTTCCATTGAAATAAAGATTCAATCTGAAACGCAACAGCTGTATCTACGAACGTTCAGTTCGTACTTTTAGAAATTCTACGAGATTCACTCTCAATACTTGGCCGAGCAAACTCGCGCTTCAGTCATGTATAACGATTTTCATTTTCCTCGAACGCGAGGACAGAGCCTTAAATGGAAGCACATCCTTAAACAACTAGAACCGGACACTTGCTCGCAGAAGTTGGTAACGACGGAAGTCGCCCCTGCGCCAAGACAGCCAGTCAAAACTTGGCCACCTACGATTACAGATAGTTCCCCTTGGTCCGCCAGTTTCTGCGTCCTTCAAGGTTCTCTTCCTGCTTCACCCTGCTTAATCGCCGACGCGGGGATTATCAAGCGTTTCCGTAGCGGGGAATCGAGCCGACGGAGATCTTCGACGGTGGATTTTGTACGGACCGAACGCTCCGAATCGGTACACGATTTCCAATCGAGGACAAATTGCTCCTCGTAAATTGTTCGAGATTCCCCTCCGCTGGCCGGTAAGATCCCAGATCCCGTAGGCAGAGAAAACAATACCGAGGGAAGTGAAATAGAAAACCGCGCGAGATCTCGGCGTAACGATCGAAACCGTGCCGATATTGTTCTTCTCCTTGGTCGAGTTCCCTCCCCTCTATCGACCTACAAAGGAATCCGTAGTGTAACTGGCGACATCGATCGAACTCGGAGTAATTACCGTGCAAGGTGCACGAGAGTTAATTCCAGGGTGGCAAGCTCTTTCTCTATCCATTTCCACGTCGTCCGCCTCGTCATTTTCTCTATCTTCGATCGCGGCCGCCGCTCTTTTTCTACATTTTCCCTCCCGTTTCTCGTTCCCTCTGGCCATCCGGCCACTGCCTTTCTGGCGGACAAATTGGATTCGATAATTGCGAATCACGACGGCAGAGACGACAGTCACGTCGTCGTCGACGATCGGCCGGCCAGCTGGCAGGGGTGAAACGTCTCCGTCTTTCGATCTACTTCTCCGCGATGGTCTATCACTGTCGCGAGAAGCTTGACACACACCACCCGTGGGGATGGCAAAGGGGTGGGAGGGGACAGCAGCAGCAGCAGCAGCAGCAGCAGCAGTAACAGCGAGAAGAAATCGATTCGATGGATATTGCCGCCGCCAATGAGTCGCGGCCATAGCACGGGGCATTGATAATTGCGTCCGTCGTTCATCGCATCGTAATTACGTCCCCCGTCTTTCGCTCTTTCTTTACCTCTCGTTTTTGCCTCGTGACGACACGTCCCTTGCACCCTCCGACGCTTCCGCAAGGCCGAACCGGTAACTCATTATCTCGATATTGTCTCTCGCCGCGCGGACAAAGCGAACGAGCTCCAGTTTTTCTCCCTTTACAGAAGCGCGAGCGTCGTATCCGCCGGCCAAGTGCCCAGCCAAGTAAATTTCAACACGGTTAAACGTTTCAATTTCGAAACTCATAAAAAATGTAAGACGTCGTGGATGCGCTTTCCTTGGACTTTCATTGCGCTGTCAATTATGCGAGGGAGAGAGAGAGAGAGAGAACGAGCAGTTGGAAAGTTGGAAAGTACTCGAATTATATTCTGTAACGTTCTTTTAAAAGGAGAGTAATGAAAGGGTAATGACGAAACGTTCGCCGACGAAATGTCCCCGATCGAATAAGTGACAATTGACTATCACCGAGGAACTCTGGTGCAGAACAATTTAGGAAATTCAGGAAATTCCGAATTTTCATCCGTCTGACATCACGCACCGATTCCTATTAGCGATTCATTAAGGATTATCGCAGGGGAGAGGAGAAAGAAAATAAAAAAAAAAAAAAACTGTACAGGGGAACGATCCATTCAAAACAAAGGGATGACCAAAATTTCCAACGTTTCAACAATGGCAGCGTACGAACAGCCGACTACATTATACGGTCATCTATGGATATAGTTGGTAAACCGCGGATGTCCGGCGTGGATCAGCCGTGGTTAAAACTGTCCGCGTAAAAGGATCCATTTAAATCCACGAAGCTGGGCGAACACGCGCGGGAAATTTCTGCCACCGATGCACACCGACAGCGGAACCATTCATCCCCTCGTTAACGAACAATCAAAACCGCAGTCTGGTTGAATTTTTTCAATTAATGTCACAGGATTAAATGAATAAACGTCAGATTGTTAATTACCCACCGGTACTTGTCCGGCCGTGAAATGAACTGTAACCGTCTGCGATTTGGTCCGCGAAGTAGCTGAGAAGGGGGGTGGAGAGTAGAAAGGAATAATGGATGGTACGAACGAACAAATGGAGAAAATTTAAATAAAGTGAAAAAAGAAAAAGAAAAGAGACAGAGGGAGGAAGAGAGAGAGAGAGAGAGAGAGAGAGAGAGAGAGAGAGAGAGAGAGGATGAGTGAAAAATGGTGGCAACGTCAGTACGTTGTTTGCGATGTTCTTTGCGTTGTCTCCACCGCAATTGCCGCACCGGCAACGCTAATTTCACGTGCTGGCGAAATTACCGTCGACTCATTACGCGCACGAGATCGCCGTTGTCTTTATCGCAGTGGCCGTTTCGTGTCGACCCAATGTCACGTGAAAAATAATTTCGCGACGTTACAACCTCTCACCCTGTACCCGGTTTAACACGCGCGCGCTGGCGCTATCGTTTTGCCACGACGTATGAAAGCGGCGTAACTTTCTCGTTTCCACTTTTATTTTTTTTCAATTTTCCTTTTTTTCCTGATAACGCAACGTTTCCGATCCGATAGCCGTAAATAACGGGGACACGTCGCATCGATTCGATAACGAACAACAGGACAACAAGTAAATCGACAAATCGACGAGAATGAAACTAGTTTTAATTGCCGGCTTGCGATCTCAAGTTCCATCCCGTTGCCTTCCTCCCCCGTTTCTAACATTTACCCCAACTCGGAACAACCACTCGAAAATACATTACGTAATTATGAAAAATTGACCGATAATCGTCAAAGTATCATCGCGTTGTTATCCGTCAGTGTCGTTGTTCGTTTAACCTTTGTCATAACCTCTCTCTGAACGAAGGCTATCTCCCAACGCCGTTGTATTGCAAATAACGAAAGATACGATCATCGTATTCTCCGTCGTTACGTACCGTCCAAATTGTCTAGCCAGCTTATCTTGCAGCTTCAGCCTGATTGCAATCGACCACTGTGCACCGCCGCGATATAGTACAATTTCTTGGTGAATCTTCGCAAAATTCGAAACTTGAAACCCGCGCCTCACCTCAGCCATGCTCCCTAACAAACGATCCAGTCTGTCAAATATAACAAGAATGAACAAAGGGGCCAGAAGGCCACTTAACAGCCTTGGCGAGATAAAAGAACTGATGGATCGTCGAGGCCATTATTGGATGGCGTGCGTAGAAACATACGTCATTACCAAGGGGTGCGTGACGATTTTCTGCCAGAGAGAGAGAGAGAGAGAGAAAGAGAGAGAGAGAGAGGCTGAATGGAACAGAAGCTGAGGTCGTTCGGCCATATATTTGTGCGTATCGTAGCTAGCAGTCCGGGAATTACGCGAAAGATTGATCGTACCTATTTACCGGAACCAAATTACACTTCTGTTCATCCGCTCTCTCTATCTTACGAGCCATTTCGCTTCCGGTGGCTGGTCTCCTCCAGAACTTGTTCACAGAATCGTTCCCATAAATAATTAGCCACCTTAATAACGCTCGCGATACACGTCGACGTCTATCGTGCGCGATAGATCATTATTTATCCCGGGGGTTAGAGAATAAAAGGGGATAAAACTCGTGATGCATGGCGTCGTGGTGGCCGATACTGGGGTTTCCAACGAGCACGGAACAACGGATAGGAAAAACGGAAGATTGTTTCCCATGATGTACGGTGTTGGTGAGAGCCGCGACCGCTGCCTCCTCCCCAGGCGTAATGAGATTTTTCCATCCGCGTCCTCTCGCTTCGTTCCACGGAGGGGGATTTCATTGGAATCTCTATCAAACACTGAAATGAAACACTTACGCTGAACGGCACCAGCGAGTTCTTCACACACGGGACCATCCATTGTTGGAACAGCGACATCACCACTTGCATACCGACCACCACCTCCAAGATCCGTTTAATCAGAAATCTGCACAGATAAACGAAGCGTAGGTTGCGGGTAATTGCTACGGGGCGATGTAATTCAGCGCGCCTCGAACAAAACGAAAATTGTGTTGTTTAAACACACTACTGGTACGGTACGCTGTACGGGAAACAGGCAGTGTTTCCACAGTCCTGCAAAAGCACGACCCACTTCCACGACTGCACGTCAGTCAAACAGAGTCAGCCGCGTCTTTTTAGCCGACGCGACGTCACGCGACTTTTCCGCAAATAATACATTAGCCCACGTTGGTTACATTTCTCTTATCATGGACACTTCGTGCGCTCGTCCCGAAAACCCGTCGCGTACGCGCCACCAGGGAAAAATCCAAAAATATACGACTCGAGAGGAGGGAATCGCGCGATACGACGCGTTTCTCTTCTCCCCCACGGGGGTCGCAATTCGTCCCGGGGATTTTCGTCGGTCGACAACTGCCGGTGGCAAGAAACGTCGGGCCAGTCAGGCAGAGGCTTCTCTTTCTCCATTCGGGCAAAGTGGCGCTGGCTGCATGCATCCAGGTCCGCAACTATGTCCGCAAAGACGGAAGGAGGAAAGTGTTTCCACGAAAATCTCCGGGATTCCGGATACAATCGGAAGTACGAGGCCGGTAGCACGGAAAGGAATACTTCAGCCTGCCTCCCGACGGCGAGTCCACCCTATCCTCTCTCCATTTCGGCCCAACAATGGCCCACTTAAATCTAATTTCGCGAACATTTCCGCTCGCCAACTTTGCCTTCTTCCCTTTCGTTTCTTTCTTCGCGAGAGAAAGAGAGGGAGAGGGAGAGAGAGAGAGAGAGAGAGAGAGAGAGAGAGAGAGAGAGAGAGAGAGAAGTGGAAGCGCCACCAAAACCGAGCAAGAAGGGAAACTTTTTCGTGAACGTGGCTTGCGAAACCGTGGCGATCCACCAGCGATCCACATTCTCTTCTTTTTCCCGTGGAAAAATGTGCACGCCGCCGAGGGATTAGAACTGAACTAAAGTAACTTTAGTCGCGCGATCGTTCGCGTAAATTTCGGTTCAAAAATTCAGCGGTTCTCGGCGCGGTTCACCTTAAATGTGGATATATCCAAGGCGGCTGAATAATCCATGATTTTTCGTCATTCTGAAATTAACCAAACAGAGATTCGACGAATTTAACCAGTCGTAATTGGAACGTGACAGGAGAAATGTCGCACGGGGACGTTTTATAGAAACGTATAATCCGGGACTGGAATATCCAGCAACACCGAAGTTTCTAAAATACACCTCGAGTTTCGTTTGCCGCTGTTTCTAAAAATTCCCCTCGCAATCTCATCCTCGGAAGTGTACACCGAGTAAAAACTGACCGAAATATTCGCTAAAAAGTATCGATGAAAAGAGGTCTATCAAAAAGAATTCAGCCCGTCCACTGGGGGAGGGTGTTTACCTTTTCCGAATCCTTTGTGTTCTGGGGAAATTCAGTTCGTAGCAGAGGGTAGGCGCCAGGATGTAGTAGTAAAGATCACGGAGATTCAAGTTGTCCGGATATTGCACCAAGACCGTGCCACCGCCGTCTACCTCGTGCTTCGAGTCGTCGACCTCCTCGGCGTTTTGCTTCGCGCTGGAAACTGCAACAACGAATCGTATCCGCGTTAGACTAGAGGCAGAGAGAAAAAAAGAAAAAAAAAAAGAACGGATTACGGCGATGAATCACACGCCACGACTGGCGAGCAACAGGAATTTCGCGAACCCTTGGACAGCCTCTCGTGCTTGCAACCGGGCCAAAAAAAAAAGAAAAAAAAAGGAGAAAGAAGAAAAGAGGGAAAAGCAAGATTCGACGAGAGAAAAAAAGGGGATGGAGAGAAGAGAAGGGAAGAGAAGAGGGAAAGAAGAGGAAAAAGAGGAAAGTGAAAGCTCCGACGGGGGAGTTTGATGAAAAGGTACCCGGGAAGTTAGTTGCTCCGGCGTGCTCGAGAATCATTCTGTGCATCCCCATGGACTGGGTGGGAAGAGAGCGAGCGAGCGAGAGAGAGAGAGAGAGACAGAGAGACAGAGAGACAGAGGTGTAGTTTAATCTCTCTCTAAGAAAAACCAGCAAGTATTTAAACTTCGATCCCCGGTTGCAAGCACTTTTCCAGGTTCAGATTGCCAGACGGCTGTTACGGCAGTCATCGTTGTTAAATGATTTCAACGCGAGAACGATGAAACGCGTTAAACACGTCGAGGGTTCGGAACGGTCGGTTGACTCGAAACCCTGCGACCGATTTTCGTCTGCGCGTCTAATCCCCTGCCAACACGAATAGCTAACTGATAGAATCCCCTCATTTATCCAAATCCGACGGATAATCCAATCTGGAATTCAAATAAGCTCAGTTACGCGCCGGCTGTTACCCGGTGAGGGCCTCGGTGAAACCGGAGCGATCGGACCGATCCGAATCCGAATCCGAATCTCGGCTGCGACACGCTCCACGTCCGAAACGGCTGCTTGCCACCAGGGCAGGAAATCGACGTGACTCTCGCGAGTAACGCACGTCCTACCAACGACGGACGTTCGAGCGACGCCTAGCGACGTTCCATGAGTCGCGGCGAGCCAGCCATCCCCTCCCGTCTCGAGTAATAAGTGCCAAAGAATTCGTCCAAATTAAATTCCTCTTCCTGCCTCCGTTTTTCGTTCGTCTCGTTTCCGTTTTCATGCTTCGCTCTCGTTTCTTTTCTCTCTCTCTCTCTCTCTCTCTTTCTGTCTTTCTCGCGTTCTTCGTCGTATTTCGGTCTCGTAGCTGCTTCATTTATTCCTTTAGTCATCCTTTTTCCTCCCCCATCCGGCAGCGAGTGACTGCTTGGTACTCAATACCGAACAGGCGCGGAATTCCCCGTTTCGTCGAGAGGTCCTGTTGTTCGAGTTAATACGACGCCACGCGATGATCAACGCGATGGGCGCGAGATATCGCGAGCGGATTCCACGCGGAGCAATGCCGCCGCAGTGGCGCGATTGGAATTTTTAATACACGGGTTTCTTGCCCCTCGGGGTTCGATTGGCTCTCGTCGTCGAAATTCCCTTGATTGATTTGCCATTGGTCGCCTGATCGATCGGACGTGCATACGTATTAATCGGCCAAGCCGTTCGATCGTGAAATTATTATCGCGATTCCCTCTGCTTTCCTTATCTTTTTCTGTCCGACAATCTTGCTTTGCTAACCAATATCCAGATGATATTGGTAGCCAGAAGGAACGTTGCTAGGTCAAGTGTCGTTAAAGTTTCAGCAACATTCGGAATTTATTACAACCGATAACCATTCGATACTTCGTCACTCTAATTACCATACGAATCAGCGCGCCACCGATAACTCGCGCACGCGGGGACAACGCGCTTAGAAAAGTGAAAAAAAAAAAAAAAAAAAAAGGGCAAAAATCCGGGGCTCGGCTACACTTTCGAAAGAGAAAACGTTTCTGCCGAACGATCGTCCACGGCTAATGAATCACGAGCGTTTCGTGAACGCTGCCGGAAAACACCTTCAGTTTATCGGGCAAATAAATTTCTAGAATTAGATCTCCATGTCGTCGGGAAATTGTGGCCAACTGGTATCGAGACAGCCGGGGGTCTGTTAGGCTCGGCTCGCACTGTTCCCGGGGAAATTTACGGGTCCGCCGGATTGCCTTGTCGAAGATTGCAGCCAATCCCATCGGTCGGAAAGCTTCGTCTCTTGTACCGCTCAAGCTTAATTTGTGAGATCTCTCGTTCGCTTTGCGATCCTTCCGTTCGATCGTTCTCCCCCTCTTCCGACAACTTGCCACTCGTTCTTCCACCCGTTCCGCCCAATTATCTCTCTCATCGTCGCGATTGCAAAAAAAAATCTCGCGTTTCTTCTCAACGGCGTGGAAATTTTTCAATCACGGAGCACTAGGAATTCTAACGATTCTAATTTTGCAAGGGGAACAGAGAGAGAGAGGGGAAAGAGTGGAAATTTCTCGCTTTCCGCGTAACTTGCAAGCTGGGCGACGATAGGGAACTTGCCGAGTTCTCGTGGCACTCGCGAGTGCTGCGAAGCTCGTGATACGGGCGCGTAAGAAGATTCCAGGCGCGTAGGTGCTTCCGCGAGCTCGTGGCATGAAAGGTTGGACGTCAACGGAGTAATAAATTAGAGGAAATTCGTCCGACAGTGGCATTAAACGATGTCACTCCGCCCGACGGGCGCGATATACGACGGCGTGTTTAACGTTGCGCAACCGCATTTGAAACCGTAAGTGATGGGGAATTTTGAGAAACTGGCGACCTGAACGACCTCGGGGAAGCCATAGAAACTCTAGAAACCATAGACTGTCGCTAGACACACTAAGGTTAATTGGTGACGAGATATATCTTTTAATATTCTAAAGTTTTCCCTGTTGCGCGAAATTTTCAAGTATCGTTGGAAATTAGAGCATTGAATGATCGTTGGGCTAGCCATTGTAATTGGATTAGATACCAAGTATCGGCGAAATATCAGTATAATCACGTTGAACGCGGAATTTCATATTACTAATCGTTAATACCAATGGCCGAGGTTTTAGCATATTTTAATGAACGAATGATCAGAACGTGGAACAACGTGAATACCAATGTACGACAGAACACATTAAAACGTCCTGTGTACACGCATAATTAATTCCGGATTTTCACGCTACCCATTACGCAAAAATAAGGTATTATCGCGAATCAGGTGATGTTTGTTTTTCCGCGAGCGACCTGAATCTCCGCGAGTTTTGCCAAATAAAAATGCTGCCGTAAACAATATAATAAAACGGATTCGCGTAATTAGCCGAAGATCAACAAGAAAGCGCACGGTTGTCACGCGCTGCATTTTCATACGTCCGAGTTGCGCGACGCGTTAAATCGCTTGGCGCAGAATTCGCGTGAAAACCGATCGCCGCGACGAAAGCACAATTCAAAACACTGTTTCTTTCAAGAAAAAAGAAACAAAAAGACTAAAAAGAAACACCACGCCGCATATGCCTTCCACTTAAAATTTCCTTGCGAATTCATTCGTTGTTAATCGCCTTATCTGTGATATAATTTTCAAAATTCTCGGCGAACAGTACTCTCCTCGCCGCGTCTATTCTGAATAAAACGAGGAGGGGGGAAAAAAAAGGAACTGCAAGACGTTTGCGAAGAACTCTGGTCGGAATGGCAGCGCGGCACGCGAAAGCGGACCAGGCCAGACCGTGACTGGACCAGCACGCGTTATTTTTATTCGAACGATCGACACGATCGGTATTGAACATACAGAGCACGAACTTTCTCGCTGTTTGCCCTGACCGAAGAGAGAAAGAGACATTAGAGGAGATCGTTTCGTCGAAAATAACGCCAACGGGCGAAGAAAAGGCAAGCTCGTGCCGGCGAACTCGATTTAGCCGATCGATCGGCGCACCGAGCACGGGCAAAAAGGCTTTCAACGGGCGAAAATCGCGTACACGCGGCCACGTAACGCGCGCGCGAAAGTCAACGTCGTCATTATGCGACGCAATAATACGGCATGCCTCGACGCTCGGCCGAGCGGCGGAGAGAGTAGGAGGGTAGGAGAGGGCAGAGGACGAAAATTACACAGCACGAGGTACAGAGAGAGGATTATATACGCGTTGGTAGCTTGGCCGTTCGCTGGCTACGATGCCCATTCGTCGATCGTGCCCCACGAAATCGATCGGGAGAATCGATCAGGAGAGAGATGCGCGCGCCCTGCTCGCGTCGAGCAGCCGAGGCGTCCCATCGAATTTCGATAATCATATTAGCCCGAGGCGCTTTTTATACTTCGCCTGGTGTCATTACGTACTAGTGATCGAGGAGCGGTGCCGATCGAGCGAGGAATTAACAGTCATCTAATTACTCTTGGTCAGGAATTCTCGTTCTCGGCTCGACGTGACAAAATACGAGACGAGATGATACTTCCACTTCCGAGAGGAAGGAGACGAGGCCTACGATCGAAGGGTATGGTCAAACGTTTTTCACGTTCGACGTTCGACCGATTCCTCGACATTTGTTCCACCTGTTCCCGGGAAAAGGTATCGCGCACCGTGATGATACGCACCATTCACACGCCTGATACGCCACCATTATGTCTTCCTTTCGCATTATCTTTGGCATTGATTAACGAGCCACCAGCGGGAACAACAACTCAGGAAACCAGGAGGGAGGGAGTCGGCCACGAGACGGACTCGAATCGAATTTGCAATCAGGAACGTCGGTCGTGTGTCTCTTTACGCTGTCGATACGCCGCGCGCGAATGTCCAAATGTCCGAGTGTCTGAATGCCGATTCGATTACCACCGGATCGAACGAACGGTCGTAAGATTTCTCCCACCTCCGCGAGCGAGTGGTTCGTTTGAAAATTTGATTGGCTCGGGGAAAAGGTGGCGGAACGAGAACGCAAAAACGCGACGTCGGGACGAAAGAGCGAGTTTCTCTTCCTCCGTCGAGTTCGAGCAATCGCTTATTTACCGGCTCGAGGAACGTTATTTGCAGAATCGCGAATGAAAGAGGCAGGATCGCGCGAGGGAACGATAAGCATCGGAGTAGGAAAGAGGCGAAGCACAATGAAACGAGTTTCGCGCGGACACGATTTCGCGGAACACAGACTCGTGGAAAGCGAGTCACTTTCGCAGATTGATTTTTTTTTTTTTTTTTTTTTTTTTTCTAAGCTTCTGCACGGCACTGGCAGGCCTGCTTAAAGCGGCCCCGAGGAACCGGAAGAGCTCCGTATAACAGATTTCCACTACACAAAAGAGGGCCATAAAGCGTCAAAATGATACACGAGGTCCTTGCAGTGCTACATTTTTCTCCGCGATGCGAGAGACGGAGAAAAGGGTGTGTGTGTGTGTGTGTGTGAGAGAGAGAGAGAGAGTGGTGGCGCGCCGCGCTCGGGGGAAGGGTTAATATTCCATGCGGCGAGTTTATCGGGGAAAGGTCGCTCGTATAATTCGACTTTGCCGGGCCTGAATAATCGATATACCACCACCTAACCGGCCGATACCCGGAAACAGAGGCGAGACTGATCGAGAGTATAAATTGGGTGGAAATTATTCGTCTCTTCCATTCGAGGTTTTCTCTGTATGTGTGTGTGTGTGTGTGTGTTTGTGTTAGCCGGGCATGTGCACACGCGTTGTGTCCAACCACGACATCGCGTATGCGCCTTCAGAAGCGACCAGGACACCCTGTCCTCCCAACGTCGCCGACTGGATTACCAGGCTCAAAAGACGCGCGCACGTCCTCTAGGTAATGTATGCGTGTCAGAGTCTATCGCGTCGTCACGAATATTTGCAGTTTATATCGGCTGGCTTTCGAGGTAAATTCATCGCGCGGACTTGCACAGCTCGCAAAGGCTGGAAAACGAGATGAAGTCAGTCGGCGTTCGATTGCAAAGAAAAAGGAAGAAAAAAAAAAAAGAAAAAGAAGAAAGAAAGAAAGACACGTGGAAGTTGATAGGCGGAAACGAATAAGAGCAGCAGCAGCAACAGCAGCAACGGCAACAAAAATTTTTCACGCTGGCCCGTCCTTTTTTCTCCGCCGTGTTCCTTTAATTAATTTTGCTTACAATAGAAACGAAGCCCGGCTGCCCGCGGACCGTGTATAACCGCGTATAACTGTGTATAACCGTGTATAACCGTGTATAACCGTTGCGCACGGGATTTAACCAGTCGTCCAAAAACTTGTAACAAGCATTTACGTGCGAGCCCCACGTCACAGAGGCGGTCGACCAAAAATCTACGCGCGCTCGCCGCGCAAGCCCGATGGCCGACGTTTTTCGGATGGTATTCCCGTAAAATTAGAGGGTGTTACAGGCGAAAGCACGAAACGATGTAAAAGGTATGCGTAATAGTTGTTATCGAAAATGCCGGGGACGCGCGTAGCGCGCATTCCGAAATAACATTTGCCGTTTCCCGTTCGCCGTGATAAATTGACATCGTTGATGGAAACAAACGTCGCGGCGCCCTTCTGTTCCGCGTTATCACGCCGCTCGCGTAACGATACACGAAGAGGGGCGAGAATCGAAGCGAAACTACCGGGAGCCATTGAAAAATCGACGGCGTCAGAGATCGGGGATCGCGCGAACTCAGTCTACTTACAGCGTAGATTATTGCACGACAGGGATTGCCGTCGCATGCCCTGGCTCGTTGCCTTCCTCCGATTGCTCAGCCGACACCACATGTTCACTTGCACGTACGACCATAGCTTCAGGAACAGGATGGCATACAGCATGCACACGTACATCGCACCGACTGCAACAACCAACGTGCAATTAGTCGTACAACATTTTTTTTACAAATTGTTAGTGCGGCGTACTTGCTCGTAGACAGTCTGAAAAAAAATCAAATCGTCGCGGTGATTCTTCGTCAAAGGAAGAATTTCAACAAGCGCCAAGTGTCGATGTGAAAATTTTCGAAAGAAACAATCCATTCGGCATTCTCGCGGTCGGATGAAGATTAATGGATTATCGGTAACGTCTTGGTAATCGAAAAACCGACCGACACGACCGTGTCTGTATCGAATTCTTAAGCGCACCGAGAGAATACGAAACAATACCCCGGAGCATGCCGATTTTTAATCAAGAAGAGAGCGAACAACGCGGCACCCGAAGAGCGGGAAATTTACTTTCCGGGAATTTCATTAAACAAATTCTGAAAACTCCGCGGCATTCGTTATCTCCGGCGTTCGTACCACGCTCCTTGCAGATTAATGAAAAAGAACAAGATGGAAGGACAAAGAGGCGCGCGGTCGCGAAAAAGAGAGAGAGAGAGAGAGAGAGAGAGAGAGAGAAAGGGAAAAAAAAACGGCAGCAGCGTGTGCTGGTTCACAACGTGCAAGTACATTTTAATCATCGCAATTTTACACGCCTCCGGGAACGCGATAGCGGATACCGTCTGCGTGAATAAAGCATACGCTGTTACGCCGGGTTGTACGTGTCCGAATGTGGCAATTAAAGGGTTTATAAAACACGGTATTACGCATTCACGGCCGACAGTTTCATCCTGCGCTGAATTTATTCCTGTTTTCTCCCGCCTGTCTCCCTTTTATTTCTGACGCTGCTTCTTTCACCGCTCGGTACAAAGCGGCGCGCGTTCGCGATGATTAAAGGTTCGGCAGCGCCTCGCGCAATTTTCCCTTTACGTTTCGACCGGGACGGGACGGACCCGTGGTTCGAGACGCCGTGATGGAACACGCCGTTTTCTTTCCCAACGGCCCTGGCTTGGCCGTGACTTCGCTCCGAGGTAACCGAGTTTAATTACGGCGAACGGTATTTGCATCGCGATCTTAAGAATGTCAGTTATTATTATGCGGTGCCGCGTAACGGCAGCTACAGCTAATGGCGCGGAATTATAGACGATGACGAAGCCTGAACCCTCATATTTTCCGATATTTCCATCGATCCTCCAGCCGCCTCCTTTGACCCGGATTACTCGTATCTTAATTAAATCGCGCTTGCCGCCTGCGTTATCCGTGCCGCGTGCCGAGATTCCGTACATTAATGGGACATACTCTTCAACAGGACACGAGCAAAATGGTCGTTTCTTTATTTTCTATGCTACTCTTCTTTTTTTTTCTTTCCTTTATTTTTTTTTTCTTTTGTTTTTTTTTTTGGTTCCTTTTACTCTTAATTATTTGCGAGTGAACGCGACTCGGACGCGAAACTGTTCCCACCACGTTTATATCTGTGAAACTTTTTCGCCTGGAGCAGAGGCTGGTCAGTGTGCGTCATCAAGGGCAACTGTTTTAATAAATATTTATTCGAATTAAGGTTTTATTTGCATGTAAATAACGCTGGGAGATACGATGGGTCCTCGCGAGCGCGAAATAAGACCGGCGACGAAAACGTTGCCCTCGAATAAATGTTTAATTGCTGGATTCATAACTTTCGCCGGCGGCTAGACTAGCTGCTTGTTTCTTCAATTCTTCGGGCAACGCATCGGCAATGAGCGTTATTCCGCTCGACAAAACGGCACCGTGCGGTTAACAGGATCAACTTTCGTTCCGTGCAACTTCGATTACTCGACAAATTAAACAAGTTGTCGAATGAAATGTCTCTCTCTCTCTCTCTCTCTCTCTCTCTCTCACTTTCGGAGATGAAAACCAAGCAGCCGTGAAACGTGATTTCTTTCAGACGAAGCGACGAATCGTATCGCTGGACGTTATTAAAACTTGCAACCTGCGAGTTCGAGGGAGAAAGCACCAACGGAGAATACGTAATTTCAACGAGATCGTGCGCTTCTCCCGTTGATACTGTTCCGGCCTATCGCTCTCCAGATTCTAAGCGAAATTTTCTCACGTTCTTACAATTAGTGTCGTTCGCTACTCGAGAGAATCGAAACACTCGTCTCGTCTCCTAAATTTAGCCGGATTAGAATTGTTGGAAAGAACAGATGATTAATGAGTCGAATTCGGCGTTGAGTCAGAACTCAACGAGATGAAAGCTGCGATAACGAGGAAGCGAGAAAGCTGGCAACGAGTATAACCGGCCGATACCATCGTCCGTTAATGGCCACGATGTACAACGATCCGACCATCTGAACGGTTAGAGCCACGCCATTTCCACGAAATGCGTACCAAATGCGCGTAGATTCACAGGGCCGTACGCGAGTTTTCGAAAGTGTTCTAATATCCCGGTTAAAGTGGATATTAATATGTATATTCAACCGTATACTGTTCCTCTCTTCCGCGTGGCGAGAAATAGGTTCTTTGCCACGCGGCTGTGGGTCGGCTCGGGAAAACCATCCGAGAAAACCAAGGTGCTAATTAGGAGGATTCTCGGATACCTGCGAGGAAACCGCGCGTTCAACTGCTCGCCGTTATACCGGCGTCGGAGACGGTACGACGCAACTTCTTTGATGAGAAAACGACTCCTGCCAGGCTTGTTAATGACATCGAACGAGTTCTACCTTGAAAGCATTAAGGGGGCAAGGTAGAAAGCCCTTGATTCATCTCTTCCCTCGAGCATAATCTTCCCGATAACTGTCGTAAATGCGCGAAACTTTTCCACAGATTCTCGTGTTTACCGTGCCTTGAGATTCAAACGAGAGAGAGGAAGAAAGAGAGAGAGAGAGAGAGCTCCCTTCGTTTCACTTCATTAAAAAGCCATCAGAACGATATAAATATTAATTTTCTCGGCTCGGGTTACCATTGTCACGCCCCTGACAGATTAATCTTGACTGCGGGATATAGCGTCGGGATCAGACGCGCGGGATTTATGCCTATCGTACATCAAGCCGTAAGGTGTAAAACTCGCGGCCCGAGTAATTTTGAAGGATCGATCGAACGTGAAGTGGAATCAGTGAGGCAACTGGACGAACGCCGAAGAAACTGAAAAAGAACACGCGTTACAACGATTGCGTGGCAGCTATCGCTAGACGAGGAAGTACATCTGCGTCCCTGTTTGTCGCTCATGCTCGCATCGAGATTATCGCTCGCACGAGAGTTCGCGCGAGTAACCCCGGGGCATAATGTACGTTCGTATGTGTGTGTGTGTGTGTGTGTGTGTATGTACACGGTACACATAGCTGCGAGAGGCAAGATAATTGCCAAATGCCGTGACACGAGTACACGTTCGCTATAGTTTGACACCGAGCACGTTGAAACGAATCTATCTTGTTGAGGGGCGCGCGCCGTGTCACTACCAACACGTTATGCGCGTGCACGCCTCTTACGCGATTTTGCCACGATCGAGTGAATTGCCGGAGATCGACGTCGAGGTAAATACGAGACGAGGGAACGTATCGAAAATTCCTCGGATCGGGGACGAAACTTTGTCATTCGGGTTCAAACTCTTTCGTCTCGCTTGAAATCAAGCCACTCAAAACTACCAGAACATCTAACCGAAATCGTCCAAATTGTTAAAAGAGTGTACGTTAATTTTTGAAAGTATACATCAACGTTGAATTCTTTCTCTTGAAATGAAGATGTATTGTACGTGAAATTATTACTCGCCCTCCGAACCTATTCCGTTCCACCCCTCCCTCGAAGATTGTTCAAGCACGTCCAGCAATTTTTCAGCAGTCGAGCGACCCAATGGTTTAATTGTTTCGCGTACTACAGAAAACACATATCTGGCGAAGTTTAAGACATATAGAGCGCTCGAATTACGTCGATTGCAATCACCGTTCTTGCACGAAGCATTACGCTAGAGACACACGCCTGTACGTTTTTCGTGTTTCACCGCAATACGAGATATATATATATATACATACACGAGAGCACGCCGCAATTAAGTCGTGACAATTTGTCCCTGCGTTGGACCGTAAGGTGCACTGTCACGGAAGATTTATACGAAACGATACGCTGCCCGGTAGATATTTCTTCGATGGCACTACGTCATGGTAGATTTTCCAGCGACGATATTATGACATTATGAAACACCGCCGGATAATCTAAATCGTCCAACAACGGAAACGGGATTCTTTCTATTACGCTATATTTTTTCCCGGTATCCCTCTCGCCCTCCAAACACCAAACTATCGACAGTCGAACAATGGACAGTTATAAAGCGCCCCAATACCAAAGACACCGAACGAGTAAGACTATTTATATGCAAACACGTTCTTTCACGTATACTCGAACACGTATCGATGATTTTATTACTCCGCTCTCGATTCAGCTGTCCGCGAGAGAGATAAACCCCCCAGAAGATATATGTGGTTCGGTGGAAAACAATTTTCCAAAATTTTTCAAGACACCGTCATATTTCATCACCGACAATGGTGTCAACGCGTAGGAACAAAAACCAAAAGAAAAATAGATAAAAGTGAGAGAGAACGAAAAAAAAATGAAACAAAAAAACTCTCCCTCTGTTAACGTATAGAATTATTCTAGCGATTTCGCCTGCAACGAACACGGCGGGCAGCGTTCAAGCGACGAGAAGCGACCAAGGGGGATGCATTGTGCAGCCAGCGTGCAACAATAGCAGGAAGTTCCACCGTTGAAAATAGTTTCTCCATTTTCTTCGGCCGCTCGTCGAGCTGAGGAATTGCCAGTTTTCACCTCGGACCCCATTGTCGCCCGGTATACTTCGAGATCCGCAACTCCCGATTTTCGCCATCCCATTTCGACCCGCCACTTCTTCTCTCGATTTCAGCCATCTCCTCTTCTTCCATCCTCCTTCCACCTCTCCGTATCTCACAGTCGTAGCACGACGATTCTACAGTCGATCCATCTCTCTCTCTCTCTCTCTTTCTCTCTCTCTTCTTCCAACCGACTCCTCAGGCCGAGTCGTTTTCGTCGTATCTTTACG